GATCCTGAAGATGAATCGTACAAAGCAATTTATCAAACATTTTAATTTCGCCTCTATATCCGCAGAGACGCCCCCATATACCATACAACAATAGTCAAAGTGGGGAAAAATTAAGGAAGTTACTAGGAGCCTACGTGTTTCAAGGTGACGGGAGTAATTAAGACGTTTTAATGTGGAAATGGTGCGGCGGGAGATGTTGCATATATGATTTTTCCAGGAAAGCATTTGATCAATGATCATTCCAAGGTTTTTGATGGAGGGATAGAATTTGATGGGATTATCGTATAGGAACAGAGTTGGAATATTAGGAACAGTTTTAAGGAGGTGATTGGAGCCTATTAAGATTGCCATTGTCTTTTCTGCATTCAAATTCAACTTGTTAGCTCTCACCCAGTCACAAATCCTATCCAGGTCTTCTTGAAGTTTTTCTGTGGCAGATAATAGGTAGGAGGGTGGGAAGGACAGGTATATTTGGAAATCATCTGCATAGATATGGTATTGGGAGTGATGGATCAGGAAGGGAAGGTCATTAATGTAAATAGCAAACAGAGTAGGAGATAGGGAGAAACCTTGAGGGACACTACAGGAGAGGAAGAGGGTTTTAGATGGAGGTTGACCTGGGACAACTACATACTGGGACCAATTTGAAAGGAAGGATTTGAACCAACGCAGGGCACTGTTAGATAGAGGAAGATTGTGCAATTTAGTGAGGAGGATGTCATGGTCAACTGTGTCGAACGCTTTGGTAAAATCTAGAAGTATGAGGATAGTAAGATTTTGGTATTCAATGGAGTTTTGGAGGTCATGGGTTATTTTAAGGAGAGCGGATTGTGTTGAGTAACCAGGTGAAAAGCCAGATTGGAATGGTTTGATAAGAGAACATTCCTCTAGGAAGGTGGAGAGTTGATTTTGGACAAGGCGTTCTAATGGCTTTGAAAAATTGGAAAGGAGAGAAATAGGTCGGAAGTTGTGTAGTGAGGTAGGGTTGGAAATTTTATTCAAAGGTCTGACTAGGGCAGTTTTCAGGATGGGAATATGGAGTTTTGCAATGAAAAGTTGAAGATATGGTAAAGAACAGGTATAAGGACAGGAAGGCTGGATTTTATTAGTTTCACTGAAATATTACCAGGACCATAATCATTAGTGTGGGATTTTAGGATAGTGGAAAGTAATTCATCGTAGCACACATGGGAGAAAAAGAAGTCTTCTGGATTGAAATTATGATGTTTGATTTCGAAAGTAGGAGAAGAATTGTTAATGAAGGATAAGAAATGGTCATTGAGATCATCTGGAGTCACCGGGACGGAACTGAGTTTATTGGATTCTGGTTGGGATAGGTTATGGACTATTTTCCGTTTCGATTTGGAATCGGGAGAATTGGAAAGGGCATTATGAAAGTAGGTGGCTTTAGCAAGTCAGATTGTGGATAGGTTTCCATTGTTTAGTTCCTTGAAAAACGCATAATCAGCTGGCAAACGGGTTCGACAGTGTTTAAGGCTTGCTGCATTCCTTCTTTTCATCATTTCCTTTATTTCAGGAGTCAGCCAAGGTGCAGTGGGATGACTTAAGGTTCTGGTTTTCAGAGGAGCATGGGTGTCTAATAAGCATTACAGGTTTGAGGTTAGGATAGATACCATAGAATCGATGGAATTATAGGAAGATATGATGTCCCATTGGAAAGTGTCAAGATCAGGTTGAAGGGATTCATAAGAAAGAAGGTTTAAATTACGGTATGAGTAATTTGGATTAGGTCATGTGATGAGAGAAATGGAATGGGATGTTGAGAAGAGGAAAGGATTTTGATGGGAGAGTCAGAGATGTAGAGGTTTAACCAAGTGTTGGAAAATTGCGTATAATAGGGACTTTGCTTTGAAAAATTTCTACAACATTGAAAAAAATACTTAAAAATTACAAACATTTTTCTGAAGAATACCGGAAGTTTATAAAGGCTTATGAAGATCTTGATCACATGTTACCTGCACCATCACTTACTTCGACTACGGCTGCTTGGTGTATGGAGGGCTATCTGCCAGGCTGGAAATGAGACTAAAAAGACTCATGAATTGTTTCATAATTCACACATTTTCGGGATCCCCAGGCGTTCACATGTTTCACTATGGTACACCGAGTTGAAGTGGCTTTATCCTACTTCCCGACGACAATTCCTTCTTGGCGTTTTCCTTTTCCAAGTCTTCAGAACCAAAAACCCTCCCTACATCCTGGAACTCCTTACTCTGCGCTCCTCTATCCACTCTCTCAATACTAGGTCTCAACCTATAGACTTATATATTCCCTCCCATAAAACTTCCTCCTTCAGCGTGCTGCTTCCTTATGGAACTCACTTCCTACCTCCATGCGTCAATCCTCATCCACAAATTCCTTCAAACAACTCCTGTTCCAACACCTACTCCACATTCAAACTTCCCCTAACATGTACAATTACTTGCATCTATACAATGTTTAATTTCAATCCATTGCAAAATTGAAATAATAATTAACAATAAATTAGTTGGTATTTTTATTATGTTAGACTAAGATACATACATTTGTAACTCTGTTATTATTCTTAGGGGACAGTAGTCCCAGAATAAAATTATTTTTTCATTTTATTTTCATTTTATCATCTTATGTGATTCTACATTTTGGAATGTGTCAGCAGGGACCTAATGATTCCAAACAGAAATTAGTGTTCAAGAACTATTCTGGCAGATCAGCTGGCTCAATTTATATAACTAATTCTCAAGAGCTGAACTGCGATGTTATTCGTGCTACCTCCTTTTGGAACTTCTTTCCTATCTCCATATATCAAACCAGGTTCACACATTCCTTCAAACAACTTCTATTCCACCACCTAATTCATATTCAAACTTTTCCAACCGTATAATAATTTTTAAGCTATGTAATTACAATTTGTACCAGAAAATGGAACAATGAATCGCAACTTATGGCAGATAAATTATTTATTCTTATTCATCAGTCGTAATTCGACCCTGGGATCGGGAGACCCTCCTAGGGCACACCTAGTCTCTATAAAGTGGGTACCCTTTATTAAATGATTGATTAAAAGGGAAAACCTGGTGGTAGAGCATGGTCTTGGTCAAATCACCTCCTTGCACAACCGTTGACCAAGAAACAGTACCTTCCCTACAAAGTAGTGAGAACAAGACTCTTCATGGGTTGTAGTGGTACAGGTAATTACAATTGCTTACTAACAGTTTATTGATGAGAGCCATTTTATTTTTTTATATTTGTATTGTTTCTACATGTACTGACATTACATCTACTGATGTACATATTTCTTGACCTTAGTTATTATTCTTAGGGAACTTTAGTCCCAGTTCAAATGATTTTTCATTTCATTTAATTTCATCCTGTGGATGAACTCTCTCAATTCATTGCTTCTCTGCAAGACTTCTATTTTCCATAGCTCTTTATTTTCTTTCTGCCTCTTCTCCCTACAATGAAGGGACATTAAATCTTGTGCACTTCTATGTCATATCTTGTGCACTTCTATGTCATAGCAAGATATACCGCATTGTTTCAGTGAGTCTCATTTTCATCATCAAATCATGGGGAACAAAATTCTTTCTAAGATGGCTTCAGAATTGTATCAGCTGTTGCATTCAAGGCTTTGGAGCAGGTCTCTCACTCATCTTCCACCAGTTATCCATGATTTGTTAATTGTAATGCCTTGGCAAGCTTGACTATGAACTGGTTCATTACATATGGGTCTTGGAGCTTCTGCAATTTGAACCTTTTAAACTTATTATTCCTGATGCCCAGTCTGAATTTGGAGATCTTGGCTGTAAGATGTGCTATTACATGGTAGTGAGTGGTCACAGACTAGGAGCTACTGACAATTTCATTTACTGAAGAACTTCCAGCTAATAAAAATTTTAAATTATAGATAAACCTCATCTGAACACATAACTGTGGTCAGTCGGTTGATAACCATTGTTTTATTTTAACGGAAGAACTGACGGCTGAAATTATGATACAATGTAAAGAATCTGTCCCTGAAAGAGAATTTACCTTAACTAACAATGTACTCAGAAGCGGTTTGATAAATGACTGTGTCAAATTCATTAAATCATTCCAGTCAAATGATAGTTGAATGTGGAACAAATTTAAATAGACTGTTTCTCTAGATTTATAAATATTTTTTGGGGTGTTGAATCTGAATTTGACAAAATTTTTCTATTCATTCTGAGATATATGAAAAAGACAGCGAAACTTGCAATTTTCCCACATGATTTGTTTATACATTCCAGTGTCGTTAAGAATCTAGTTAAATTCAATTCAAAAGAATCGAAAATATGGAAAGTGCTTAACTTGAGTATGGCAGCTACTGCAGCTGAAATAGGAAGGAAAAAGAAAGAAAAGTAAACTTAATTCTGGAATATTTAGTCTCCTAATTATAATGAACAATAAAATGACAATGGTCTGGCATTATAAGAGAATCAAGAAATAATTATGTTATGTAGTTATCTAACCATAAAATTAAAATAAAGGAGAAATATAATTAAAAATTTGAAATTATAGACAAATATACATGAGTGTGTTAACATATTTGATAAGCAATATAGATAATATGTAGGTATCTGTAAGATAACAGTAAAATGAGGCTAATACCTCTAAAATACAAACATTTTAGATGAAAAATATATTAGATGAAGTTCACTCTACCTATTTTATTTTACTTTAAGTTTATTCTACCTACATTTTTTAGTCTACACCTTTCACCTACATATTATTTTTTTTTTTATTATTCAATGTGTATAGTTTCTCATACCTATTGTTATCTGTTTTTTCTTAGCCCTGATGAAGGCCTGAACTTTTGGCCGAAACGTCGGCAAAAATAAAAATATTTATTTATTTTTACTATTTTTTTTTTTTTTTTTGACTGATCACCCCAACCATTCTTCTCTTCAATTATTCACTATAGTCAACCATCAATCCACAATTAAACTATTGATACTTGAATAATTGTTGTTTTTCAGGTAAATTGAGGATCAAAGTAATTCCTACGCTTCTTATTGCAGTTAATGGAAAAACAAAGGATTATATTGTTGGATTCTCTGATTTAGGAAATTGTGATGATTTTTCAACAGAAGTGTTAGAATGGAGACTAGGATTAAGTGGTGTAATTAAATATGAAGGAGATATCACTCAGCCTGCAAATAAAAATGCCAATAAATCCAAAATTAACAGGTTAAGCAAGAAGACGATTAGAGAAAATTATAGTTCAGATGAATCAGATTAAATAAAACAACTGATATTTTAATAGGTACTCCTTAAATAGCCGGTCGGGACCTATTTTACATTCTGATGTTTTATTGACAGTAAACATATTAACATAGCTTTTACTTTTATAAGTTATAATGTTCAAATTTTTTTTTTTTAATAAGACTTAAATTTATTACTCCTTTGTATTAACCTATATTATTTAATGAATTCAAATAAATTTGCTTAATTAATAATAATTAGTTTGTAATTTATTTATTAATTTGTAATTTCTTCTACTCCATTACTTCATTGTATTATGTGTAATTAAATTTATAAATCTTTATTTATTAGCTTAATAAGTTTATTTTAATTTATTTATTAAACCTTTCCCAAATTTCTATTATACATTTGTGTTTTCAGTAAAGCACAATTTAGATTTATTGGATCCAGCACAAAATGTCCTAAATCCATAAATTGTAAATAATGGGTGTAGACTCTAAATAATTTCTTAGTCTGAGGTCAGTCAAAGTGGTATAATAAAGAAAGCAAATTACATTTAGAGATTTACTGTTTGAAAATGATCTAGATTAATAAATAGTCAGCATTTTCAGCCTAAATTTGTTTTATATTGATTGTTGACATTTCGACCCAAGCATGTGAATCGTGATCTGTGCTAAAAAATTAATATTATATCAGATATAAGATATAGACAAGTATATAATAAAGCCAAGATAAAAATATAACACATAAATTAAATAAATAAAAATTATGCGTGGAATCAACAGGAATACAAGTAACTGAGGTGAATTTTTGAATTATAAAAACTAATCAGAATGCAATAGAGCAGCATTAAATGGTGATATTAAGTAACTAAAAATAATATGATTAAATGAGTATGTGGAGGAATAGATGAAATTTTATTATAATTAAGTAAGAAGTAACTAATATATGCAGTAGCTTAACAATTACTTGTGGTTTCCATGTAGCATTACATCAGAAACTGCGGAATGGTGTGATACAGTAAGTAAATTGATGTGGGAGGAAGGTGGAAGGGAAGTGGTTTGGTAACTGTTATTTAACATAAAATCATGAAATAAAGGTTTCTGAATTAAATATAAATGTTAAAATTTGGTTTGAGTAAGATAATAATTTTAAAATACATTAGTCGGCTATCTGTGAATAAATAATTGGAACTAAGCTTTCGAGACAAATACTAACTAATATAAGTAAATCATATTAGGTAAAGAATGGGAACTTGAAATATAAATTAATAACTAGGGGTGGAATTAAGAATGATTAAAGATTAAGAAGAGAGAAATTTTTTGGCCAAGTAAAAAAAGTGAGTCCAACTGATACCTTACAAACATATAATAATCTTAGATCATGTTTAACTTATATACAACATATTTCTGTGAAATAACAATTTCTATACAACATATGTATCTCATAATGCCAATATATAATCGTGTAGTTTTTAATATAAAGTAGGTCTTATCTGTTATAAGTAAAACAATGTTATAAATAATATCACATTTGTATTAATTAAATACTTAGAGTAAAGTAAATATGTTATTCTATAATTGCTAAATTACTTTTTGTTAAAATTCTTGAGAGCAGAAGTAACCTTCCTAAGCCTATTTTTCTGGTATACTGCCTCCTGGTATGTAATGTATAGAGTGAAAAATAATAAGCTCAGAAGCTTTTTGTTCTTTTTTATCCACGAAAATAGGATTATCCTCATTGATGCAGTATGACAGGACTTAAATGACAAATTTTAAAATTGGCTTTCTCTTGAATATCTTTATTGTCCCACAACCAGGGCTGGACCTACCACATGGGGAATGGAGTATCCACTAAGGAGCAATCCATGTGTCAAGTCCTAATCGGATGTTAAAGCCATTGTGTCACCAATAACAACTAAATTTTTTTTGTGATATATCAAAAAATATTGGATACATATCCCACCTTTCGTTACAAGGGGTTCTTGGAGCATAAAAAAATATTTTATATAATTTCAAACAAAATTCATATTATTTATTTTTGTTTATTGAGTACTAAATAAGGGTGGGACCGACCTGGGTAAAGTGAGGAAATTTTTTATTCGTAATTTTTTTTTTTTTCAAATTGGAATTAATATACAGTGGATGTCATTTACAACCACCTTAAAGGACCTGGTAAACTTCGTTGTTGTTGTTTTTTTGTGGCTTTATGCATCGGCATATTAGCCAATATTCCAATTCGTATATAGGTATGCTACTTTGTTGTTATGAACGTATAATTTTTATAACGATGACGGAAACTATATATATACATCTGTGACCCAATAACGGTCCTGGCCGTTATATTGAAATTTAACAAGAGTAATAAACAAAATGAAGTTAAAATAGTGCTTTTTTAGAAAGAAAAACATACCAATACTATTTACTAGCTGTAATGTATACATCTATAGACGTAATTATTTTTTTATATAAAATAATGAACTTCTTAACGGTAGTTATCTCTCTAAGCGAATACCCAATTAGATATATAGTCGACCTTAAAACGCTAAGCCATTAGGGAGTCAACTCATTAAAAAAATAAGTGAACGTAGAAATGCGTTTTGCCGCGTTGTATGCCAACGTCATGAGAATTCTCACGACCATTGAAACTTATGGCCGTTCGTTGGTGAAATGAAAAGAACGTTGGCAGCTTCACAGCTACATTTTAAAAAAACAATATTGGTAGCAGAATCTTTGTATCCATCCTCACGAAATACTAGTTGAAAATTCATCTAGAGGATCGCGAATTGATTTTAAATATTCGTTAGCCCAGTCTAATTAGACATGTTACATTGCAAAAGATCGGGTAATTCAAATTTCTTTTTTATATTGTTAGGTCAGCTGATGCGAAGGTTGTGTTCTCAACTCGTCTCTCAGTTTTTCAGCGGAATCTCTTTGATTATTCACTGAATACAGTTCAAGTGTACATGAGAGCAGTTGATATTTACAGTTTGATATATTTTTTTTTAATTTTTACTTCCCCCCTTTCTCTGATGATATGCGGCATTGTCACCCAGTGATGTCCAGTAAGGTGCCCGCTAAGAGGATTCGGTCAGACGGCGTTAGTATCCCTCGTGATTCACCAGCCAAACTAAGAACTCGTCGCTGCCTACGAGAAATCGCTCCAATAACCACAGTGAACACTTCAGATCCAGAACCTCAGCCTCAACCAGGTACGTCTTAGCAAGAAATCGTTGAAGAATCCCCTTTATTTACTCCAAACCCATTTCCATGTGCTTCATAATGACAGAGAAGTAATGGAGTCAGCAGCAATACCCAGGGAACCAATGCTTCTCCGTTATTTGTAAAAAATATCAAAAATTTCCAGCTATTGTGTACACAACTAAATAAAATCTGCTCCGACAGTTATTCTTGCCTTAACAGGACCAATGATACAAAAATAACACCAGATACTGCAGAAACCTACCGAAAAATTGTACATGTCAGAAACGAATACAAATTTCTATACGTACCAGCTGAAACAGGAGAGATCACTACGAATGGTGATAAGAAATTTACACTCCTCAACCCCAACTGAAGTTATAAAAGAAGAACTAACGACGCTTGGTTTCAAAGTACGTCCGGTAACCAACGTTCTGAAAGAGAATAAGGAGCAGCCGGGAGTAAAAAATTGAAGTTCCACTACCTTTATTTTTCGTGGGCCTAGAGCCATCACTTGGTATTGAGAAAATATACGAAATCAAGAGATCGTACTACACTATCGTGAAGATAGAAACGCCAGGCGTATGGCCACAGGAAGACTTATTGCCACCACTTGCCGGGTTGCGTGAAATGTGGTGAACAGCACAAATCAGTAGAGTGCACCAAACCTATACAAGATTCAGAACCTCAAATTCAGATACCAGAAGAACCGGATTCAAGATGAGACAATCAGACCAAGAAGAGAACCTTCTTGAATTGTTAGTAATAATATATCATTCCTGCCAACAATACATCATCCTTTAGACCAATGAGCCTACTCCCAATCCTATCAAAAATTTTTGAAAAGATCCTACTGAAAAGAATCCTACCCATAATAGAATCCCATAAAATTCCTACCCATCAATTTGGATTTCGTTTCAAACATTCCACTTTCCAACAAGGACTCCGAGTTTTCGACCATATATCCTCAGCCCTAGAAAAAATTAATACTGTTCGGCTGCATTTCTGGACATAGCACAGGATTTTGACCGGGTATGGCACTCTGGACTGCTCTTAAATTCCGTCTAACACAGTCCTTATATCTAATACTCCGATCCTACCTCTCTGACCGCTCCTTTCAAGTTCGCTGTGGTACTGAATTCTCCGACTGTCATTTAATTGAGGCGGGAGTTCCGCAGGGCAGCGTCTTGGGTCCAATCCTTTACATTCTTTTCACCGCAGATATTCCTGCCCATCCTGATACCCTCCTGGCAACATTCGCTGATGATACCGCTATCCTTTCAACCAACTCAGATCCTAAAACAGCGTCATTAAACCTACAAATGCACCTCTCCCTGATTGAACACTGGTGTAAGAAATGGCGCATTAAGATAAACGAATCCAAATGTAAACACATAACCTTCACCCTTTGTCGTAAATCCTGTCCACCAGTTTATTTTAACACCATCCAGCTTCCTTTCTCAGATATAGTCTGATACCTTGGCTTTCTCCTAGACAGACTACTAACCATGAATCTTCATACTTGACTTAAAAGACAGGAACTAAACCGACGATACTGCAAACTATACCGACTACTAAACAGAAAATCTAAACTTTCCATTGAAAACGAGTTACTGAAACCTATTTGGACCTACAGACTAGAACTGGGGGGAACAGCAAAATTTTCTAACATACTAGCTCATACAATCCTTCTAGTCAAAAGTCCTTCGAACAATAGTCGATGCTCCTTTCTATGTAACCAACAAAGCCCTACATTATGACCTCAACATCCCATTTGTTCTAGACCACATCCCAGAAAAATTCTCCAAATTATTATTATTTATTGATATTTTGCTTCAATTTATATTATATTTTTTGCACATATAGTGTGAATGTTATCCTTCCTCACTAAAACTAGTCTCCATGTGACAGATTGTTGTAATATTCAATAAAACAAATATGAAAACAATTGATATACATTTTATTTTCTAATAAAGTTTTTGAAAAAATTAATTTTTCTGTTGAAATCTGTATATACACTGACAGGCAAAAAATTCCACCAACTTAATTTTTCTATGTTTTCATCTAAAAATATTTCTGTAAAGTTGTATTTGTATATAATACATGGTATTTGTAGATAATACTTAGTATTTATGGAATTTTATAATCTTTTTTACCTTTAATAATCAAAATGTGATTGGGTAAGAAAGATTAGAGAAAAAAAAATTGAAAAACGAACC